GCACACACACACACACACACACACACACACACACACACACCTTTAATCCAAATCTTTCAAACTGGGAAAGGACATACCTTTAATCCAGATCTTGAGGAGGGAAGACATACCTTTAATCTGGGCCACACCTTCTGCTGGATACCTATAAAGGACATGGCAGAAGGAAGCTTTTGCTCTTTGCCTGCTTATCCCTACCTTACTTACACATTCATTTCTTCACTGGCGTTAGAGCCTGCTTCTTCAGGCTTCCAGCATCTACCGAAGACCAGCTGAGACATCCAACCTTGTGGATTAAACAGTTTCTGTGCAAAGCCAGCCATTGTTGGATTAGATATACCACAGCCTGTAAATTATTACAATAAATCCCCCATATATACTTATTACAACATATATAGATGGATAGATACATAGATTCAGTCTATAAATTCTGTTACTCTAAAGAACCCTGACTTATGCAGTGTGTTTAGTTTATTGTAAGCTAAGTAAAGGTCCAGGGGTCAGTGGTTCTCAACTAGGTATTTTGCCCACTTGGCAAAACCTAGCAATATCTGGGGCCACTGATTCTTTTCATTGCTGAGGTTCAAATTCAGAGCCTCATACAATAGGCAGTGCCATACCTTTGAATAGTATCTTCACTCATGGAAAGGGGGGAATAGAGGATGGGCTACTGGCAGTGGGTAGAGCATAAGGATGATGTTAAACAGAAAGAACAAAACATCATGACAAAAATTTGCCCGGCCCCAAATGTCAGTTGAGAAATCTGGCTCCAGATTCTTCTACTAGGGGAATTTAGGGTGTGTGTGTGTGTGTGTGTGTGTGTGTGTGTGTGTTGGGGGATTCAGAGAAGGGAATTACTGTGACAGTGACAAAAAATCAAATGCTCTTTAGACACAGTTCTATCCTCTGTAAAGAGAATGGATCCTGGGTTTTAGCAGAGGGAGAGGCCTGGGACTCACTCTTGTCCACTCTCTTGGAGAAGAAAAAGCCCCACAACTCATTTTACCAAGACAGCCACATTAGATGTCCACAGACAAGGCTATGGAGTCATGGGTTGTGGAACATGTCCAGTCACACTGTCATACTAAGAAACGTAAGACTGAAGTGAGCCTCTTGCAGTGGATTAACTATATTTTATTAATTTCCCCAGAGTGGAACTATAAACACACACCTATAATTCTTGCACTTGGAAGGCTGAATCAGGGGACTGGGAGCTCAAAGCTGACATGGAATGCATAGGAAGACTATTTTTTTTAAGTAGGAGAACCATAACTTTTAGGGGGCGTATGAGCACCCAGTGTCTTCCCAGCCAACATGTGCACCCTGTAACCATCACACACAGGCTGTGTGACTCCAAAAGAAGCCAAGGACTCCACCCAGGCATCAGAGCATTAGCCTTTAAAACCGAGAATGGGTTTGTTCCTCCTGACTTCTCCAGAATTCAGATATGCTTGGTCAACTGAAAACAACGTTGGAAGAGCAACCTGGGGAATTCTGTCACTGTAGTCTCTGCTTTAATACCGTCAGCCTGAGGGAAAGGTGAGCTTGACTCAGTCCAGGGCCATTTGGGGAAGACTGAAGCACACAAGTGTAGTACTGGGAAAAGAGTTCTCTTCCTTCTCCCCTGCAAACCAGACATGGGATTGCAGGGGGGTGGGAAGGCCAAGCATTGTTGGATAGGTGGCCAAAAAGAATGCCTCTAAAACAGCCCCCATCCTCAGTGAGGTCTGGAGTCTAGGGATTCAGGAAAGTTTGGGAATAGAATCTTCTTGGTTTCTGCATCTCCATCAGGTAAAAACCCAGCCACAGCAAAAACTAAAGTGATAGGAGCCGATTGTCTATTGATGTCTGAATTGCAGTAAATGAATGGGAACTTGTAACTCTAGGCTTTATACATCCCAGTTCTGAGTGTCTCTATGGTTTTCAGAACAGACAGCTAGTCTTCCAGATGTGGTATGGCTGATGTACACATCGACTCACAAGCAGCCGTGGCTGTCTGCATAAAACCTGCACAAGATCAAACCAGTTAAAATTTCATCATGGAGAGAGGGATCTCCCAAAGCTCCATCCTTAGCTGATGAATTATCAACAGTTGATGGCTAATGAGAGAGGGGTTAATTTTCTTTAGAGCATGTGGCACTAACAGGATTCAGTAATAAAAAAGACAGCATTGAGTCAGAAGAAAAATGAGCTGGTGGGTCTCTAGAGGAATTGTAGGAAGGCAGTTGGGATGGATGCAATCAAAATACGTTGTACATATACAATATTTTCAAAGAATTAATAAAATTCTTTGGCCTAAGATTGTACAAGGGCATATAGTGAGTAATTTTTGGTCTGTTTGCCATCTAAGCCTCACTTTTGTTTGGAGAACTTTCTAGTTCATAAAAGGTAGAGTTTACCAGCCACTACAAAAGTAGAAGCTTCCAGATAACAAATTTATAACCTCCTTTGGAGATGTAAGATGAGGAAATTGTGAGCTAGGTTTGGCCATTCTGAAGTATTAAACTTTGAGTTAGAAGCTAGAGACAAAAAGATGAAGGAAGGAGCAGTCATTTTGGTGGTGGACAATGAAGCAATAACAACTACTATTATCACATTACTAGTGCAGCAAAGGGCAGTAGTCTATGCTCAGTGTTGTAGACAATGGTTACAAAATAGTGGCAATCCCTAGAGTAGCTTTGCAATCTTAGTATGGCCCTAACCACAGCCTATTCTTCCCTTACCCTCTTTACTTGCAAAGGAAGTGTGATGGCTATTCTTGGTTGCCAACTTGATTACATATGGATTGAACTACAATCCAGAAATGGAGGGCACACCTGTGAGAGATTATTTTTCCTTATGTGAATACACTCCTGGTCTGGACCTTTGAGGTAGGAAGACACACACACACCTTTTCTGATGCAGATCTGAAGTGGGAAGACACTTACCTTTGAACAAGGTCTTGAGGTGTGAAGGCACGACTTTAATCTGGACCACACCTTTTTCTGGAAGCCTTTATAAAGACATGGCAGAAGGAAACTTTTGCTCTTTGCTTGCTTATCCTCTCCTTGCTAGCAAGTCCATTCCTTCACTGGAATTACAGCCTACTTCTTCAGGATTCCAATATCTACTGAAGATCAGCTGAGACATCTAACCTTGTGAACTGAGAAACTACTGGATTCTTGGACTTTTCATTCATAGCCAACTACTGTTGTATTGGCTGGACTGCAGCCTGTTAAGTCATTCTGATAAATCCTCACTCTATGTTCATTCTATAAGTTCTGTTACTCTAGAGAACCCTAACTAATAATGAAGGTTTTTCTGATATCTTAGTAGTTATTTGAACCAACTGACATATTTTCTTTTTTACATAAAGATTCAAAGTTAGCTTTTTTGATTATAATTAGAAACAATTTTATAGAAGTTAATACCACGAAATGGGATACATGGAGCAACAGAACTTAACATTTAAATTGTCTAAATACAGAAAGGTACAGGGCAATGGGACATCAGAGTTTTGAGCTGGGCAGTTGGTGTTCTTTGTTATGGAATGATACAATCAGGTTTTTTTATGCATGTGTAGGTGTATGTAGTGTGTGTGTGTGTGTGTGTGTGTGTGTGTGTGTGTGTGTGTGTGTGAGTATGTAGGTGGCTGTACTTGCAAACATCACAGGAGGATGTCAGTGTCTTCCTTTGTCACTATCAGGGGACTTGATATTTATGACAGACCAAGCTAGCTCACTGTCAAGGTCTTTGGTCCTGTCTGTCTTAGTGATACAGGTACTCATCCATGGCCATCTTTTACATGGGTGCTAAGAGTTTGAACCCAGATCCTGATGTTTGCAAAGCAAGTAGTACTATCCAGTGAGACCCCTCCTTCCCAACTTCACAATAGTTATTTCTTAAAGTATTTGCCCAAGTTGTGAAAGAAATAGAGTAAGTTGAAAGATGGCCTCTCTGAGGGCAGACAACATGAAGAAAATAGGACTTTAAATAGACTCCTTCTGACTACAACTTGTTATCTAAGTGATTGAACATCCAATCATTCGAAACTGTTCAATCAAAATAATTTAATTTTCATTTGAAGATAAATTTAGTACAAAGAGGTATGCAGTGAATAGGAAGTGATTGGCAGACCTGCAGTTCCACAGGAGACATGGGTTATAAAGTGGTCCCAGAACCAAGGGAGGGAGAATCTTGAGGATCCTGTTTTGTTTTGTTTTTCTCAATGGAGTAAACAGAGAACTTAGATTCAAAAGTCTTTTGAAGAAGCGAAAAACCTCTCTGGAACAAGTTCCTCTTGTTATGAAGTGAAAAACCTCCCTGGGACAAGTTCCTCTTGTTATAAAGTTCCCAGCATTACCAAATACTTGCTACTTTGATTTCAAAGAACGTTGCATAGTTTCCATTCTGTCTTCCAAAGCTTTAGATTCTGAAGTCATCTTCAGTCTATTGACTTACTAGCTTGAGTTTTGCAAATAGAATACTGGTCCTTTTATAGAATGACCTCAGGCAATGAAGAATTCATTCTTCGAACATTGCTTCATCTGGAGAGGGAGAGGGAGACTGAGGCACGGATCAGGTCTTGAGGCGACCAGGATCAGCTTCCGGAATAAAGCGCTAAGAACATCTCCAGACTTTGTGCCTTGTACTCAGCCATCTGAGACAGATGTTTCACGTCCTGGCTTTTTGTCTTTGGGTTTTGTTGTCTAATCCAGCATAGAGTGAGATGTTTGAACTCACATCATCTATTTTGTCTGCTACAGCAAAGATGGAATGCTGTATCAAGAGATCTCTGCTCCATGTCCGTGTGAGCTGCAGAGCAGGTCGCCTGCTTGGGAACCCTCACTGCCTTATCTACTTCTCAGGTGCGCCTGTGCAGATGGATCACCAGGGAACTGATTGAAGATGGGTTCGGATGTGCAGTGTCTGTCACAGAGAACTTGGGACCTACGGCCAAGTTCAGTGTGTGTTTTGATTCTTCCGTCTTCCTTCAAAAAGTCCTTTCACTGGGTGTCCGGGTGTCAGCTCTCCGGTAGTGTCACACTGGCATAAATTGTGGTGGGGTTTGGTTCCTACGGGGCAAAGAAGTTCATGAGTGAAGGGGTGGAGGGGAGGAGTTTCCAGGCGGTGAACACAGTAGCATCCCCTGAGAAAAGGAAAGGCGTAGTTCGTGTAGCATAGCATTATGCTTCTAGTCTGTCACAGTCGGGGCATTGCTGGAGCCAGCACTCAGGTCTCCAAGTGCCTACCTGCAAATGGGCATATATTTCTCTTCCAAGCATATGTGTGCCACCAAGGAAGTTGTCCCCAGTTATCTGAAGACTGGCCTTGCCCTTCCCTCCCTCCTCTTCCCTCTTCTCCACTCCCTCTCTTCCTCTGGAAGAAACTCCCTTAAATCAGGACATCTGCCATGCCATGCTCAGCCATGTCTTCACCACATGGCTGAAATCGTCCAAAACTGTAAACCCAAATAAATCCCCCTTCATGTTGTCCTCTTAGGTATTTTGGTCACAGTAATATAAAAACAGTTAACAGCCCTCCCATAGGGCAAAGAGAGTCATAGGGAAAAAAATGACAAGGGAGCTCACATCCTGTTGGATAGGAAACAGTAAAGAGCAATACCGAAAGAGACTAGAGCAACACATTCAAGGACACAGTGGGTGGGCTTCCTCCAGCTAGGCCTCACCACTTCGGAACAGTGTGATTGTGTTATGAGTACATCACGGATCAGGAACCTGTCAATCATGTAAGAACCCTCACCGTCTATTGCCCCTGGAAATGCCCTCGAAGACACACCCAAAGCTGTGCTTCACCAATTTCTTAGGCACCTCTTAATCCAATCAAGCTGATAACCAAAAATAACCCTCACTGAGTTCTTCAACAATTCTTTTCTCCCTCTCCATTTTCCTTCCCTCCCTCTTACTGCCAGTTTCAGGGTACAGTTTGGGGAAGCCAAAAGAAGTCTAAATTATTGAGTTTTTATAGGGGCTACGGAGATCCAAGTGTGGATGAGAGAAGTGGTACCTGTTCGTTGTTTTATAACCAGTATGCCAGGTGTTTCAGATGTGGTCCTTGGGACAACTCTCAGAGAAATACTAGTCAGTAGATAGTGACTCACGGTCTGTGAGCCTGAATGAAGGGATTTGTGTAAGTCCTAATTAACCATGGCTGAAGCTATCCTTGCTGCTTGTGGTCTAGACCACTCTCCTAGTCCACATCTCTACCCTAAAATAAATAAACAACAACAAAAACCTTCCTCCCCTTCTCTGCCTCACACCAGACATTCAGTGAGTGAAGAGGGGGAGTGATGCCTTACCTGGACTGGTTCCGGGGCAGGCTCTGTGGCAGCCACATAAATGGTTGTGCAGGGGTCCTGATCTGTCAGGTCATCATCAAGTTTCTTCTCTACAGGCTACAAGAGAAGCAGAGGAAACAGATTAGTTGAGCAGAAAGCTGGGTCGCATTCAACTTGCCCCACAGAAAAGCAGCTCAAGTTCAAAAGCTCCTTAGTTATTTGCTCTAACTTCCTCCCTGGAGAGAATTCTCCCAAACTTTGCTAGCCATTCCCAGAGTGACATCTTGGGGCTTGCAACCTCCCAAGGCAACATCATTCCTTATTTGCACTCCAGAAAAGAAATGTTTATCTCAATTGCCATACATTTCTTAGATACCATAGTTTATAGAAAAATTTAATTGAATGAAAAATGTCTGATTAGGGATGAGACCGGTGAGGAGGAGATGGAAACAGTTTATTAATCAACTTCCATTCATTGGTGTGCCCTTTGCTTCTTCTCCTAGTTGGGAGAAATTTAGTGTGACCAGACCTAAATGCAGGGATGAAGGGTGGGATAAATAACTTATATGTTCTGCATTCAATTGGGGAATTTTACAAAGAAGAGAGTTCTTGGAACAATGTTGTTGAATTTCCTTTTAAGATTTCTTATCTTAGGTATAAGGAATTACTCTAAACATAATTTAACAAGGTAGCACATTTTTGTTTCTCATGTCTTCAGTTAGGAGCACTGATTCTCACATCTCTAGGGATACCACATTGGAGCAACATCAGGTGTATAACTGATTTTTTGCTACTCTTTGTGAATGGAAGCCCTTGAGATAACAGTATAAGGCAGGAGGCATAAGTCCTGGAGTAGTTCCTACAAGATAATCAACAGTTGTTTAATTTTTATGTTACTATGTTCTGTTTTCACTTTTCTGAGACATGGTCTCACTGTGTAGCCTTGGCTGGACTGGAACTCCTTAAATAGACCAAGCTTGCCTCAAACTCAGAGAGACCCACCTGCCTCTACCTTCTGAGTGCTGGGATTTAAGGTGTGCAACATGACACCTGGCTGTTATTATACTTTATGTAAAGGTATTGTACAGCCATTTTGATAAAAACAAAAAATGCTAATTTTTGAATAATTATCTGTTATCATCTTTGTAATGATACAGTAGCATGATAAACAAAAATGAAAGGAATTTTGTAAGGATATAGGTAAGTCTGTACATATTGATATATAAAACAATAATAATGTCATATATATTTAAAATACACATGAATTTAAAAAACAGTAAAAATAGAACATAAATCAAGATTCAAAATTATAGTATATTTAAAGTATTGTACTAGACTATAAAGAAAAAAAGGGATAAATGTGTGTTAATAAGTCAGGGATATGCTGGATGATGGTGGCATATGCTTTTAATTCCAGCATTTGGGAGACAAAGAAGACAAATTTCTGTGATTCTGAGGCCAACCTGGTGTACACAGCTAGTTCTAGGACAGCCAAGGCTAGAAACCCTGTCTCAAAAACCAAAATAAAACAACAACAATAAAAACCACAAAAACAACACAAAACAGATTAAGAACTCAGGGATGTATCTTATAATTTCTAGGATATCCACTAAACACAGAGAAAATAGTTATTTAGAAACTAATGAAATACAGAATAAAGTGGAATGATAAAAGTATAAATTTAAAAAAAAATCCCCCATCAAAGGAACTCCAATCTCAGAGACACTGTCATCTAAAAGTTCTGCCAAACATGTAAGGTAAGAAATATGATCAATCCCACCCAAACATTTTCAGAGAGTCACAGAAAGAAAATGTGTCTGTTGGTGAGCTGAATTGTGGCTGCCAAAAGATACGTGCCACCAGAGTCAGGGTGTGCCATTTTGTGGCATTAAGGCTTAGGCAGAGGCGGAGATAAGACAGATAGTCGGAACATTGAGGAGAGGTCACTGGGTCAGAGTGGGCCCACATCCAGTGTGGGATGCTCTAAGGGGTGGAAGGAGCAGGCAGAGACACAGGCAGCAATGTTTCATGGAGATGGAGGCAGAAGTTGTGGTGCAACCACAAACCAACAGATGTTGAAGTTTGGAGCCATCATATCACACTGAGGTAAAAGCTTCTCCCAAGAAATTCAGAGGGTTTGGGCTCCTGCCATTATGTCACTTTCGTTTTGGATTATTGGTTTCCAGAACTGAAGTAAACTAAATTCTGGTTGCTTAAACCACCAAGTTTGTAATAATTTGCTATGACAGTCTGACTGAAAGAATACAAGCCTTATCATTTGTAAGGTTAGCATAATCATGATATCAAAACCTCACAGAGTTGTTATGAGGAAGGACAGGCCAGTTTCACCCAGAAACTAAATGTGTGTGTGTGTGTGTGTGTGTGTGTGTGTGTGTCTGTGTCTGTGTCTGTGTGTATGTATGTGTGTATGTGTGTGAGTGTGTGTGTGTGCATGTGTGTATGTGTGTATTGTGTGTGTGTGTGTATGTGCGGGTGTGTGAGTGTGTGTGCATGTGTGTGTGTGTATGTGTGTGTGTATGTGTGTGTGTGTGTGTGTCTGTGTCTGTGTGTATGTATGTGTGTATGTGTGTGAGTGTGTGTGTGCATGTGTGTATGTGTGTATGTGTGTGTGTATGCTTGTGTGTATGTGTGTGTTTTCTTCCAGTGCTGGAACTGAAGCCAGGGCTTCATGCATTTCATACATGTTGGCAAGCACTTTATCACTGAGTTATATCTCTAGCCCCAGACAATACTCTCTCTCTCTCTCTCTCTCTCTCTCTCTCTCTCTCTCTCTCTGTCTCTCTTTACTTTTTTGAGACAGGTAGGTAGCCCTGTTGGTTTGAAACTTTTTACATAGTCCAGGCTAGCCTTGGATTTGCTATCCTCTTGCCACTGTCTTCCAAGTGCTAGGATTACAGGCATGGACTTCCACGCCTAGCCTGACAATGTTTTAAATGTATCTTATTTTAAATATATATGTGTTGGGATGCTGACTGACTGTGTGGAGGACCATGTACATGAGAGCAAGGGTCCACCAAGGCCAGCAGAGGGTGTGTCACCCCCTGGAGCTGGTGTTGCAGGTCGATGTAAGCTCCCAGAGTAGGAACTGAACCCAAGTCCTCCACAAAAACAGTATACACTCCTAACCCTGGAGTAATCTCGAGGCCCCGACAATACGTTTAATGCTGTAAAAAGCTCACTAGAAAAACTTCAGCAAAATTCATGTTTAGTGATAGTATATAGTAAAGGCTTTCCTTTCAAATCTGGAGTTTAGGGTAATGTCATTGTCACTACTTCTGTTCAGCAGCGTGCACAAAACTGCAAAACCTCAGCCAGCAAAATAGGGCAAAGTAAAGCGGGTAGAGCTATGTGGTTTATAAACAAAAAAGAAAAACTAATTCTTTGGAGATGATCCAGTGGTGTAGGTTAAAACCGAAGTCATCTGCAGACAAATGCGAGAACTTGTGAATTAATTCAGCAGTGCTGCAAATACAAAGTCAATATAAAAATTAATATGTCAATAGTAAGTAACTAGAAACTAAAATTTTAGAAAAGGGTAATGTTGATAATGTTCTAAGATATAAAAGATAAATCAACAAATTAGAATGATACAGCCATATTTGGAAAACTATAGAAGATCATTTAGAAAAACTAAATAAGACTTAAAGGATAGGCAAAATTTTAAAACAATAAAGATATTTACTGTCTTCATTGGGCTAGTCAGTGCTAATTAACATTCTAGCAAGATTTTAGACTATATATCAGTACGCTAGAGTTAGTTAAGAACTTTGGATGAAAAAGAACAAACGGATGTAAAATAATTTTCTTTCTAATAAAAAAATTAAAAAAAGAAAGAAAAAGAACAAACAGGAAGATGTATTTTAATAAGATATCACAGTTTATACCTCTAACCAAGACAGTTCAGCCAGTGGACAATGGAGGAGAATACAAGACATCAAATGGAACCAGCCATACACATGCCCTCAAATTATAATGAATAGGGCATAGCAGGGAACAGCTCGTGCAACAAATGACCAGTAGAATATATCCATGTGGGAAAAAAGTGAAACTTGGCCTCTTTTACACAAAAGTAAAAAATATTTCCCAAGTGTGTAATAAATAAATGTGAAAGAGGATACTAGAAGAGTATTTTTATTACCCAGGACTGAGAAACATTTCTCAAACAGGTTATAAAAAGTGATAACTGTAAAGGAAGAGGTTACCACATTGTTCTAGCCTGACATTAAGAAGTGTTCTTTATCAGCAGGTCTTGCTGAGAAATTACAAAGCTAAGCCACACATGATATGGATCTAACCTCTAAAGGGCTCACTTCTAAAACTTTTTAGTTTATAATAATTTGTTAAAAAAAAAAAAGGTCTAAAACTCAAACGTAAATGGGCATGAGATTTGAATATGATTTTAATATGGCAATGAACACAGGAAAAGTTGTTACTTATCAGAAAAACAAAGCCATAATAAGACCCCTTACTGGTATGGATAAAACAAAAGGGCTGATGGGAACAAATTTTGACTAGCACGTACAACTATTAAAACTCATTTATTGGAAAAGTAAATTGATACCAACTTCAAAGAACAATTTGGTCTTATCCAGTCAATTGGAGAATCCATATACTGTATCATTCAGCCAATCTACTTCTAGGTATGTGCCTTACAGAAATATGTATAGACATATTCATCAGAAGACATTCATATGAATTTCATTACTGTAATTTTCATAATAACCTCAAAATGGAAATAACCAGATGCTGATTAGTAGCCAACTGGATAAATATATTCCAAAACAGCACACATGGATAAACAATGACAATTGTATGTATCCTGAGTTCAAAGACATGTATGAATTTATGATGAGATATAAGAAAAGATACTGACAGATTCTACTTTTATGAGGTTTAAGAAAAGAAATACATAATTCATATTTCTAGAAGCCAGGATAGTGGCTATCTCTGGGGAGGAGTTGGAGAGTTGTGGTACAGAGGTGTTCTTGGAGGAACTGGCCATGTTCTGTTGCTTCATGTGGGGGGTGTTTTACGTGGAAGACTCAAACTGAAAGGTGTAATTTCTTCTCAAAGTAGGCCAATAGGTCTGATGCAATCCTAACTTTTTTTTTGATTTTGTAATACTTGAGAAGCTGATTCTAAAAGACACACTCAGCCTCAGCTAAGTGAACATTTAGGTGAGAGGGTTATCATAGGGGCTCTCATGTCTTTAAATGAAAGTTTGTTTTTAATAGGAGTCTATGATGATTGTGGTGGTTTGAAAGAAAATGGCACCCATAGGGAGTGGTACTATTAAGAGGTATGGCTTTGTTGGATTAGGTGTGGCCTTGTTGGAGGAAATGTGTCCCTGTAGAGTCAGACTTCGAGGTCTCATATATGCTCAAGCCATGCCCAGTAAGACAGTTCACTTCCTATTGCCTGTGGATCAAGATTGAAACTCTCAACTCCTTCTCCTGCACCATGTCTGCCTGCATGCCATCCGCTATAATAATGGACTAAACCTCTGAACGATAAGCTATCTCCAATTAAAAGTTTTCCTTTATAAAAGTTTGCTGTGTTTTTGGTGTCTCTTCACAGCAATAAAACCCTAAGACAATGATGTAATAAACCCACTAGACTACCGAAGGCAGCAGAAAGGGATCTGCCCAGGACTGTTTCCTGGTCCTCAGAAATGAATTTATTGTATTCTTAGGCAATTATCTAATTATCATTACCTTCATAACCTTTACTCAAGACTATGTCTCCCCCACCATCCTAAATAGCCAAATCATGGGCTAAAAAAATCCCTTAGAATGACTATGCATCTGTCTATTGAGGATCCTGTAGACTCCTGTCTCTTACTGCTAACATACCTGTTTCCTGACTCCAGCATGTCTCATGTTTTCCCATCACTCCCTTCTTAGTTCAGTGGTCATGTTGGCTGTTTTGTTTTTCTCTCCTCTCCCTCCATTCAGCATGTCACCTTTTGTTTGAACCACACTGGAATTCTCAATGTCTTCCCTTTCTCCCCCTGATTGTTCTGTGGGTGTCTTCACTTGGATCAGGCTGGCATGCCACACAATAGCTCTTCCCAATCTCCCTCTTTCCCCAAGCCTGTACCCTTCAAGACGGGAGTCTGGAGACATGCCGCACAGACTCCTAGAATGCCAGAGCTGGGAAGAGTCCACTGTTGTGTGTTCATGACTTCATCTCATTATGATGAAGAAGCAGTTGAGGAGAATGCTCAGTGGTTTCCATTATTTCAAACAATATAGAGGACCAGTGACACGGGTTCAACAATTTTTAGGGAAGCTCTTATTCTTGATTTCTGCTTCCCTAATTTCATCTACTGTAGAACCCCTGCAGAACCATGATGTGTGCAAGGTGGCCCAGTCCAGAATCCTGTGGGAAATATGACAGACACGCCCCAAGAAGAGCATAGGACTTACCCCAGATTTCTGTACTTGGGCATAAATTGTAAGGCTGTTTTCTTCCACTGGTGGCTGGCAGGTTTTTTTACCTGTAAAGAGACACAGTGGTTATCTTCCTCTAGTCCTCAGCATGAGCCCCCAGCTCAGTCCTGTCTGACCTTTACTCTCCACTTTCTACTCACTTCTTTCATCACCACCACTGGAACGAGGCACTAGTTCCCAAACTCTACGCATTTGTTTATAGCATTGGATTCGTTACTTGATATGTCTAGACCTGTGTCCCCAATGCCAAATGGAATTTGAAATGCCTGTCTCATAGAACTATTGTAGAAATCAAACGAGATAATACTTGCAAAGCATTGACACCAGTTACACTAGCAGATAGCAAATGTTCGATATGTGCTGTGACTCCCAGCTCTGGGTGCTATTTAATCGCTATGCAGTTCAGTTACTTGAATCTCTATTTTTGTGCATGTCTGCTCTCCTAATAGGGTTCCAGGTTTTCTGAGACCATAGCTGCCTATTTATAGCACGCCTCTTATTCTCCAGCTGGTAACATGTTGCTCCACTCACAGCTCTCTCATCTCCCTATTTCTGGAGGGCTCGCTAGTGTGTGTGGGATGGTGGGATAGGTGGGACGATGCACTTGGAAGTCTCTGGAAAAGAATGCAGCAGCACCATTCTTTCCTTCACAATCTAGAAATCTAGCTCAGAGCCTGAGGTCTCTGTAAACTAATGAGTTGTGAAACATTTTAGTTTTTAGCTGACATTTCAATTTTCCTTTTTAAATTATAAAGAAAGTCCTCATCACAAAAGTTGAAATTGGATAGAAATACAGAAGAGTATAACTTATAACGCCTTCTCCCTCATTAACAAACCCCATTTCATTTCCAGACGTAACCAATGAAAGGAGTTTCCAGTATGTCCATCTCTGGGCAATATAGTACTTCTGTGAAGGCATAAATGTTCCTTTGCATAGACTAATAGCCACAGGTGGCAAGCACTTGAACTGTGTGACTAGTGAAATCAAGAAACTGTTACTCAATAGTAGTTCAATTAAATACTGGGTGGCCATCTTAAATATCGGCTATATTTGATAGGTTTTTTTCTTTTTTACACAAATGGTTCCATTCTACTCACACATCTCTGTAACTTGACCTTGTCCCTTAAAATGCGTTCAGAGACTCTTCATGATGCCACAGTGGACCTCTTCACTTTTCCTGACACGGAACCACTTCCCTGGCATGCATCATGCGCGGGTGAGGTTGTGGAAAGAAAGGACTGACCTTTGCAGGACTTTCAGAGGACTGTTGCAAGATCTAAGCCGAGACCATGGAAGCTCAACTCAGCCCAGAAGAAACCATAGTCATCAGGGCAAACTTGCCTAATGTCAATCCGTTTATCCTCCTCAGAAGCTGGAAGCACACCACTGAGAGGATAGCTCCGGGAAGTACACTTGGGTTTGGAAGAGAAATGCCTGGTCCTGTGATGTGAGTGTGGGGGGAGCGTCCCACTGAGGGTGTGGCTCTCGGCAGGAAATGATGGGAAGTTACTGGGAAGTTCAAGGAATTACAGTGAAATTTCCTCTGCGGGTATGGCATGCCTGATGGTTCTAATCTCACTGGTGTGTGTGTGTGTGTGCGTGTGTGTGTGTGAGAGAGAGAGAGAGAGAGAGAGAGAGAGAGAGAGAGAGAGAGAGAGAGAGAGAGAGAGCACGAACATATGTGTTTGCTTGTATTTGGAGATCAGAAGAAAGAGAGAGAGAGACAGAGAGAGAGACAGAGAGAGACAGAGACAGACACAGAGACAGAGAGACACAGAGACAGAGAGACAGAGAGACAGAGACACAAAGAAAGATGAAGAGAAAAAATTGGAGGTTAGGGCTCATATGTTCATAGCAGCATAAGGAGGTAGGAGAAGGGGGCCAGGGATTTCTCTGAGATACTACTCTTTCATTTCAAATCCACTAGTGTTGCAGAGTGAGACCTGCTTGCCCAGCTCTCTCCTGGGTGCAGCCTGGTAACCAAACTGAGACTATACTCCAGTCTAAGAACTTTTAACCCTGGAGGCCAGATCAGGATGAAGTTTAGAATGGCAGGACAGTCCCAAATAATCAAAAGACCACTGAATCAAGATAATTTAGATTCCTCTCTCCCTCCCTCCCTCTTTTTCAGTACAGAATCTCCCTCCCTCCTCTTTTTCAGTACAGAAACAGATTTTCAGGAGCCAACTAAGCTTCGCTCCAAGTCAGCCGAGTCTTTAGATGTAACGAAAAAGATCTGAGCCCTAGATCTTAGCCTTGGAGCCAGCATTAGCATTGCTGTGTGGCACTGAACAGATTATGTCATTTCACTGAGGTAACTTAAATGCTGTAGTTGTAAAACCAGAGCATAAACCTTTTGTTTTTTAGTTCTCACATGAAGCAATATATTGTCTGATGTGACCCTAACTGCAAGTACTTTAACCTCTGTAAGTACCACTTCTAGAATGTCCCAGGATAGTCCTCTGTGGGCCTTAAGACTTAAATATTGGCCCACGCACATTGAGAGATCTATCTGTTTACAGATGTATGTGTGTATATGCATGCATCATCCAGGAAAACCACTGTGTGCTATCTGCGTATTGGCTTGCCAATCTCCACAGCAATACCACAAAAGCATAATATCCTCACTTTGCAGATGGTGAACCATTTGCTTGGTTACACAGCTCATTAGTGCCATAGTCTGCGTTTGGATGTTGTCTAAGGCCAAAGCTCCACGTGTTCATTTGTTAATTTTGGGATGGGGTCTCATTAGGTGGCTCAGGGCTGATCTAGAACCCATGGGTTAGAGTGATCCTCCTGCCTCAGACTTGCAAGCAGCTGTTACTACAAGCTTGTCTCACGGCACACTGCCCAATGCCCACGGTCATAACTAGAGTGTTCTCCTGGAGACGAACTTGGCAGAAGCACCTTAAATCTCCTCAAGAGTCGGGCAGCATTCTGGAGAAGACACGCTACGCATTGCCAACAGAATCTCTTGAGCAATGTTTTGTGGAGGGTATAGCAACTAAATGTAGATTTTGGCATAGGTTTGTATGACGATGGGTTACAAGGTGTAAACGGTTCCTGGAAAAGCTGGGGATGTGTTTTGAAGGCGGGGGAAGTGGGCTTTGCTGGGAAGGGAAGTAATGCTCCCTCGGAGCTCAGCCATATGCTGAGCAGAACGCAGTGAGGAGTGTGGTGTGGAAGGACAGCATACCTCTACTAGCTAGGCTAACGTGGGAGACTTCATCTGCCTTCTTAGCCACAGAATCTCAATGTTTTCTTACAAGAAAAACTAAGCGGGTTCACTCCCAGACCCCTTAGCTCTCAACAGAAGTTTTGTCTGAATAACGAGCCCCTCCCCCACTGTCTGGGTGAACTCTTCGACGGAGGAAATGAGACAGAGGTAGGCTCCTGTGCTGTGCTCAACGTCTTCTTATATAAGCAAAACCGACATCAATGTGCTGAGGTAAGGGCTTCTCTAAGAAGACCGCTTGTAGATCACACTGACCTGCTTGAGAATGACAGGAGCTGACAGATTGGTGATAGATGAACATAGGTTTCCATGCTCCCCAAGGGAAAGCCAACAGGGCATCAGAGACAGGGTGCTCTGATCCAGATGGGTGAGTGGGAGTCAGTATGGCTGAGGGGACACATGGCCTTGAGATAGCGAAGAAAGATCAAACATTTAAATTTGGAATCACAGCCTTACTGCTTTTAGTCTACCCTGGGACATGATTCACAGATGCAAGAGTTCTCTGAATTCTCTTCCCTAGAAAATCTCAGTAGAGTATGCCTCCTGTTTCAATTCCTTTAGCCTTCGGCAGCTCTTTCCTCTATGGATTCCCTGACAGAGTGAGTCCGTGTTTATAGTGAAAGCTACCTGGGCTTGTATAAGATCTATGCTGTTTAGCACCTGGACTTGGTAAGAAGCCTTTCTTGCAAGACCTACCTTGTTTTTTCAGCATCATCACTGCCGTGGGAATCAGGATGATGACTATAATGACCCCTAATGGTGCAACAGTGTGTGGTAGCCATGAGCTTGACTCTGAAAGAAAAGTCAAAGAACAAATCTCAAATGCACTGTGGGTTTAAAAATACCCAACCCAGAAGTGAGAAGGCTGAGCCTCATGCCCCATTTCCGTACCTGACTCCCCAGGGAGACATTTGTTTACATGGTTTTAGAGACCAGCCTTAGACCACTAAGATTTCCATGCCCAGCTTCTTACCCTCATTTCACTTACTATCCCCGACTTTCACGTTTCTAATTTCATAAAGATGTTTCTAAATACAATGATTTATTTTCTCTTTAAATACCGCTTGTCTAAAATTAACTTGTCTTCTCTCCCCTAAGGCAATCGCTTGCCCTGCTTCTCCATTTTTAAATTTCTAAAGTATTATGTGTCCATTTTTGGTAAAAGGGATGTGACAGTCCCATGTGCTTGTCCCCATGCCCCCAAACTACTCCCACGAGACAACTGGGAGGAAGAAATCTGCTTGTCTTCTTAAAAAAATAAACACAATAGTGCTATTATTGCCTTTGAATGCAAATGATTGTGTTGAACCCACGAGACCCGAACTAAAAGAAAAGCATGTCATTGTTCCTGTCAATTGTCATTATTTTAAATTATCGAAGCTAACTGAGGCTTGAAATCATAGAGCCAAATTTTGTAGCTTTCTCTCCTTTAGCCATTATGCTGAATCCCTTTGAACCGAGAACACGACTTTGGAAAAGAGTGAATAAGGCCTTTGTTTCAATCAACAAGACATATGGCTCACTAACCTGATAGTGGCCAGTTGCTAAGTACTTACAGTCCAATGCTTTTAATAGTGAATCTTGTACAGAAATGTATTTAATCCAAATAATCCTAAGGGGTGGGCACTTTTATTTTTTCCATTTTATAAGCAAGGAAATGCCATGAAGAATATCAAGAACTAGGGCTAGGAATAGGAGAGGAAACATGGCTGAGTACTAAAGTCAAGCTCCTTGGGAGTCAGAGAGACTCCTGGACTTGGAGTGAGCAGTAAGGTCCCATTTGAAGCACCAGGTTTCTAAGTATTAACGCTAGGTTCTAGTGTTACTAATGAAACAAATACAATACCGGGTATTAGCAGTAATGTGTAGAACACTTTATAAAAATGATTCTGAGAGAAAAGTGGGTTTATAAACATCTTACCCAGCAGTATAAATATATACAAATAAGCAAACTTCCTGTTTTTTTAACCTTTGAGGGGTATGTCAGAAGTTGAAAGGAAGATCTAAGTTACAATAGAACAGAGTAATTGTAGACACCATTCAGATGCTTACAGAATTGATGAAAATATAGACAGAAGTCCCACGGAACTGATAAAAGGCCCTAGCCCAGCAGTTTCCTTCTGAAAGAATTATCTTCTTCCTAGGCTCTCCATATAGCCAGCCACAAGGAATCTCACTGCAATGACAGATTCTCTTTCTCAAGTACACTATGTTTTAACCCGGCCAAATACCAACTTCAACAGTTTTGAGCCAAAAAGGAGAGGACCTAGGTGTGGTGGTTCATGCCTCCAGTCCCACCACTCAGAAGGCTGAGATAGGAGGGCTTACCGTTCAAGGGCAGCCTGGGCTATGGGGGTGAGACCCTGCCTTGAAAATGAATAAATGAGTAAATGAACAAACACAGGTAAGCAGAGAATTGTTTTTGTATAACTCATAAAATGTGAAGGCAGCTGTGAGCTACTCACTCTGCATGACACCCTGAGTGGTATACGATGGCTGAGAACCCTCTGTGCATGTATGAGCATGCATATATGTATGTATGTATGTATGTATGTATGAATGTATGTATGTATGTATGTATGCATGTGTGTGCATGTATGTCTGACTGGTTCAGATCTTTGCTGTCAGTACCAGGGACACACAGAGAGACTCCCTGGTACAAGGAGAGAAGCAGGGGCAGCAGCCTGAGCTTCTTCACAAACTGTGGTACTGGCCCAGCAAACCATAATAGTAGCACTTACTATTTTGAGAGAGTTCCTCTTTCTTCTTCTAAAGTCTATAACAAAAGCTAATTTGAGTCACAACACCTCAACCATTTATATCATTTCCAAAGATAATATTTCTTCTAAATTTCATAAGAGATTTACAAAGAGACCAAAAACCAAGGCGATGATGCCTCTGAAACTGGAAAACCGATGACAGACTTTCATGCCAAAGCTGCCTTTCTCCTCTTCCCGGGCCTTCTGCTGCAGCCCTGCTGCCCACCTACTCACAGAAGTCAACAACTACAGGTACGTGATTGGGGCTCCCTGTGTGATGACACCAGGCCCGTGTCTTCCCAGGATCCCAGCAGGATGCAATCAACCTGCTGCCTATATCCTGTGACATAAAAGACCAGCTTCTGCCTTATGAGAGGCAATCCGGCCCTCATCTTGAAAGGTATTTCTATCAACTCTAATTTTCTCCCTGCCTTTTAAAATATGTATGAATATATTGGCAAATTAAAAAAAATAAAACCATTGGCTTAAAAAAAAAAAGACCTTAAAGGAACTATATATAGTGTTTAGTTTGCCCACTCATTTTACCTTGAGGAAACAAGTATGTCAGTGGCACAGCTGGGAGGGTGAGAACTGTAGAGTGCCAGGTTTGTGACAGCCTCTGGAGATGGGAGTCCCATGGGGAAAGTAGGTAGCCACAGACTCTGATGCCTGGGAGAGCTAAGGCCAACCCGTCTCTTCACCATCTTCCTTCCACACCCTACCCTGCCTCTTGATGCTGCTTCAGCAGTCCCCCACACCCCCTCAGGCTCTATGCTCAGCCCACTCTTCCTTCCTCAGTGCCGCCTTTCCTGAACATTCCAGCCTCACTCTGCCCTCTCCTCAAGACTTTGGCATCACATGTAGTGTATGTCATAAAGGTTAGAACCTGTGTTTTTCCACCATTATCTTTGCAATGCAAACCATTTTAACGGATGGTATTAGAAAACGGATGGATGGATTCTCATGTACTAACTAATAACTACGTGTCTTAAAGAGTCTTTTGCACCCTCTGAGGCCTGTTTCATCATCAATAAAGTGAACATAAAAATATCTAGTCCACAGAGTTGTTCTGATGAACCAGCACAATACTGCACATAAAGTGTTCAGAGCATCATCTAGACTCCGTCACATGATCAACGGACGCCGCCTGCTTCCCCTGGCCTCAGCTCCCAGTGCACCTGTAGGAGGCCAGAGATCATCTCTTGACAGAGATACCTTTTCAGTCCTTTCAGTATTTGCCACATACATCCTCAGTAAGTTCCTAATGGTTGATTGGAACAAGAAAATGAATTTGCTCCTCACTGAAGTCCTGAGGTGCAGAGTCCCATCCTGTCATTTACTTATGGCTTAGTTTTCCCATCTGACTAGCAGGCCCCAAGGTGCCTATACTTAATGTTCACCCACTTGGCTCTATTTGTCAATTATGGTATTTATATATAGAAACTACCAAACTTGAAGGCCTGAGGAATTCAGACAAATATGGACACAATGCTGCTTATCTAGCTTGTGGGGCTCAGGTTACACACAGTTTCCAAAGTTTCTGGGAATGTTTTCCTTGTGGCCCTCCAAGCTCTTATTTCTCCTGCTCTGCTTGCTCTTCTGTGTGCTGTCTTGTGCGAGGATCTGAAGGGAATCAAGGAGCAGACTCTACTGTGACATGGGAGCTTCCATCCATCTTCTGATAGGTGCAGACCTCTCTCTCTCTCTCTCTCTCTCTCTCTCTCTCTCTCTCTGGTTTGTTTTGCTTTGTTGAGGGGATAGGCTGGCCTAGAACCTGCTGTGTAGCCTTGTGATCCTCCTGCCTCAGCTTCCCCGGTGCTAGGATTAGAGGCTTGTGCCTGTTCCCTCAGCTGCTCTGTTTCTGAATAAACACCATCTTCCCCTTCCTCAGCATACAGGCTGCATCTATTCTCCTTGGGGGAGGGGCTCATCGTCTGTCTTCTAGCAGCTATTAAAGCATGTCTTGAGTACTGTGCATCCACCAAAGAGGAATTTTGGTAGTAGCATCTTTAAAATGATGGGTTTTTGTTTTCCATCTAGTAAAGTACACAAGTCCCACTTAGGTTGACACCTCTAAAGTTGGTCTCTGTGCCCATTCTTTTTCTGAACAGCCCCCCATCCCATCAGATACAGGACATGAAGTCACTCCAAATACATTTGAATATGAATTATTGAATATGAATGGATCTTAGAGAACTGGCATGTCTTCTTTTGTTAAACGTTATCAGAGTGCTAAATATATGAAGGTCTCAGAAGGCATGCTGGGTCACTTTCTGAATGCCCTGAGACAGGAGTCCAAGGAAGTACCAATGGCCTACTTGTCATAGCTTTGCAATAACAGTGAGAAGCTGGAAAGAGTGTGCTTGCCCGCAGCACATCACCCATGCACCTATTTCCAAACCGGAAGATCCCTCTGCTTTTGCTCATTCATGTAGTGAGGCCTCTCAGGATGCTGGTTCTCAGAAATCAGATAAAACTTATCCTTGGCTCCACAAGTCCTTCAGTCACAAAGAAACATTACCTCAACCACTTCTCTTTCTTTCCTTTTCCTTTTCCTTTTTCTTTTTTTTTTTCTTTTCTGAACCAGAGTTATGATGCTTTTCTCCCAGCTAAGGGGGCTGACTGAAAACACCTGTGCTATTTAGAGGAGACAGTACTTCGCATGAGTCTCCACCCTGCAGTCCTTCACTATTAGCTGTGAGTTAACTGTAAGAAAAACTATTAACTGTAAGAAACCCTGCTTAGAGCCACTCCTCCAAGGAAAATGCTGGCCGTCTTCTTTCCCTTTTTGTCTCTGAAAACTCTGTCGTCACAGCGACACAAAAGCCTCTCTCCCTTCAAGTCCTCAGATCATGTTATTTGAAGATGATAAAAAGAAAACAAAACAGAACCCAAGAAATAAATGTAGTTCATCCAGGAGCCTCTGAGATGCTCACATAACGGTCTGAGAGTACCGGATCTCTTTCCTGCCTTTCATGTGGTTTTGTCAGCAAGGTTACTGGCATGGAGCAGGGCTCCTTGAGAAGTCAGAAGTCTTCAAGAGATGCCTTCTCAGTGGTAGTTTCCAGTGAGAATTGGGGGTGGGGGGAGGATACCAACTTAAGTCTGGGAGCACCCAAGAAAAGGTTTTCATGGAATTCACATCTTCTGAAAATGCCACCTTACAGCAGCCTGTTTCCCACCTGACAGTGTTGTAGAGGGAACAGCAGCTTGTTTCCCACCCAACAGTGTGAACTAGCCATGTGCCTGGGGTCATTTCTTCCATTCTTTCACGACTGTGGACACACAACTGCCCAGCTAATAACTGTATTTCCTAGCTTTTCTTGTTAACACATAATGAGGCTGTAGCTGATGAGAGGTATCTGAGCTCCATTCTTTTGCCATGGTTGCCAAGTTTGCTAGATGGGGTGACACTGGAGAGGCCCATGGGCATGGAACATCTAGGTGACTGAAAATGACGGGGGTGGGAGGGACACTCTGGAGCTCAGGTGTTAGCCCTTTCTTCCACTGAGCCAGCATTCTACTAACTTCATGAGAAAGTTTTTCCTTTTAGTGTGGGCTTCCAGGGGTATTCCCTTCTCACTGAATTTTTAAGATTTTGAATCAATCATCCTCGCACAGACACAATACTTTCAAAACATAGTGATTAAGGACAGCAGCAAGTCCCACACAGGATCTACTGTCAAACCACATTAATGTGCTTCACATGACCTAGATAAAAGATGTTGTAGAGCCCAAGAATCTAGGCCTTGTCGTAAGAGACTTCAGTATGACGGACATTGAAGATGTATGAGATTCTTAAATGGCATTGGAACCCAGAGGATTATGTGATTGACAGCCTAGACAAATGTCATTAATGCTTCTTTTCAAGGAACAAATATGTTCATGTACACATTTTCACTAATTAAAGTGGAAAAATGTCTTCAAAATGACTCTTCTGACTTACTGATGGCAACTCTGATGAACCCTCAGCCTACCATACAGTTTCATTCTGGGACTGAGGTTTCCCTTGGTGCACACTATGTAAGAAGTCTTTGTTGCACTACCAGCCGCTGCATTGACGCACATTTTTGATGGATTACTGTCGTAATGTCCTTCTGTAACTAGTTTCTTTCTCTTCTGCCTCTTGCTGACCCCCGCCTATTCTCTACACCACTGTACTTTCTCTTTGAGATGCAAAGACAATGGTGCCCTTCTCCATCTAAAACTGTCAGCGCCTATCACACCATTACCTTCGAGATGGTGTAGAATGTGGTGCAAGCCTTCTCTGTTTTCCTCTCCTTAATATGCCTTTTGCCAGGGGAGTCTGGGCGGCTTTTGCACGTTCCTCAAGTCACCATCTTTGATGAACCAGTGCTGTTCATTCCCTCTCTTTATTACCTTGCACTTATTTTGGTTTTAAAACCTCTCCTACATACTCTGTGATCTAGGATAATTGTCCATTTACAGAATTATCTTCAGGACAAAGATTGTATCTCTGTTTTTTTCATCTTTGTGTGCTCAGTACCTTGCATGATGCTGGAACGTGGTAAAACCTCAATAAATGTTTTGTCAAAGCAAACCCAGCACTTTTAAAATTAGCAGCTTCCATTTGCAAACACAAAGTGACAGACCAGTGGTTCTTAACCTGTGACCTCTTCACAGGGGTCACCTAAGACCGTCGGAAAACACAGACATTTACATTACGATTCAGAACAGTAGCAAAATTACAGATATGAAGAAGCAACAAAAATAATTTTATGGTCGGGGGTCACCACAGCATGAGGAACTGTATTAAAGGGTCACAGCGTTAGGAAAGTTGAGAACCACCATGATAGACCAATGAAAGTGGCTTCTCAGTAATTTAGGTAATTTCTTCAACAGCCCTGTGTAGACGAAAGGTCATGCTGCACAATGCCAGGGTGTCTGCCTTGGATTTGGCAAAGAATGCCTCCATCTTTGGAGGGGGAGGAACCTTTACTTGAACTATGAGTTAAATTGTGTTCTCTTAAAATCTTTATTTGGAGGTCCTTAGGATGCGACTTCCATTGGATATGGGAACCTTACAAAGAGAACCAAGTTAAAAGTAGGGTGCTATGGCTTAATTACTACACCGCCAACTCACATGTTGAAGCTCTAAGCCTCACAAGAGTGCTGCTTGGGAACAAGTTGTTATGAAGGTAATTAAATTCCAACAAGGTCACTAGCTGGGCCCTTATCTAACTTGACTGCTGTTCATATCAAAAGCGGGGAGCGGGAGAGGCACCAGGGATGCAGAGACAGAGGAAAAAGGCCATCTGTAAGTCAGGGAGAGGTCTCAGGAAAAATCAAACCAGACAACACCTTGCTCTTGAACTCTAGACTCCAGAACATTGAGACAATAATTCCCAACAGCTTAAAGCATCCAGTTTATGACATCAATACCCCAGAAAACTAAGCCTCCTAGCAGCATTTATTAACAGTTCTTGTTGACATACTCGTGAACTAAGTCATACATGTACCTCTGGAAGGAACATTAGTAATTTACCCTTTGTCTTGCAGATAGGCAGAGGCTCAAGAGAAAAGGTGGCTGCTTCATGTCTAGTAGCGTTTCTGAGTGGATGAGGTCTTGACAGAGTTCTACTCAGAGCGCCTTCTACTCAGGGGCCACTTAGTGTCCCTCCACACCCCCCAGAAGCCTGCTTCATACTCAATCACACTAGTGTATACGTCATCCTCAGGATGGCTTAAGCGGGTAAAATCACCTTCAGTGTTCGCTTAGAATGTCCTGATCTGAATGCCCAGTAAACTTTATGGATTACCAAGATTTTATTATGCACTAGTTAGATGCTTGCCAAGCTGTCTTGAAAGGAGTTCCCATCCCCACTTCTCATTTTGAGATAGGTCATGGTAAAAATGTGCTTCCTTGTCTCTAAACAGGCTTCATCAAGCAAAGAGAGCTAGGTTGCCACAATGGGTCTTGCTCATCTCCAAGGAAAACAACTAGTTTTTCATTGTGATTTCTAAGGACGTTTAAGTAAATTCACTCTTCTATGAATACCTATGATCCCAGCACCAGACAGCCCAATTATCTCACTGGCTCTGTGTTTGATCTTACTCAAACCATTCATAGTTCTTCTTTTCTTCATTTCATCCATAGTGTGAAGATGTTGACACTGTCTACATCATTTGATTTCTGTGAGGGTTAATGATGTGCCATGTAGCCAGTACACAGTGAACAACCAAAGCCTCTCAGCCATCAGTTACAGATGAAGAATAAAGTCTCAGGGAAAGCTGAGTTTTTTTTTTTTTTACTCCTGTAATCAGAAAGAGCCGCCCCGCGCCCCCCCCCCATGTTCTAGAAGCTTCCCACTAGACAGCACTGTTTTCTTTCTTTCTCCAGGATGCCCTGAATGACTGTAGGCAGGGAGGGACCTGGATTATAGCTTACACATGGCTTGTGGGCCACATTCAGAAAGTAGAGATGGTTGACTCTTTCCATGACATAGTTGCATTAGGTTCATAAAAGAGCTCAAAGGAATATGCTGGGGTACAGTAGAGGTATTTCCTATCTGAGAATCCTCTGGGGGTGGGGAGTCTCGGTTACAGGAAGTGCTATGCTGAGGGCATAACGTATCTACAGTCCCCTTTCCTCTGTCCCTGCACATCTGGTGTGTTACACAGACACCAAGTCTGTGTGGGTGGGAGTCTCCTTGGAATGGCTCTTGCTCCCTTCCCCAGCTAGGAGATGTCAGGATGTAAGTAATGCCTTTCAGGGCTCTCCCTGAACATTCCTGTGACATAGACACAGTGTGGCACAAGAGGGCAGTGGTCTCTTCTGTCTCTTGGTTAGATGGGCCTACTTGATCAGCATTCTCTCCCAACAGAACAGTTATGCTCTCTATCCAGGAAAAGAGAAGATCTACTCAAAATATTTAGGTTGGGCATTAGCTCCACTATTTGAAATTCAAGAAACTTGAGAAAGATACTTAAATTCCATGAACTTCAAGTTCCTCCTATGTAAAATGAAGCTGGTAATAGCACCCACCTGGCAAATTTACTGTGAACCAAAGAGACAATCCATTAAAAGTGCCTTGCCGATAAAGGAGTGCTGGCATCTCATCACCATTCACTGGTTTCACACTCCAGGACTTAGCTTACCTCTCACTCGGCTCCTCTAACTGGCTCTGAGACTGACAATCCATTCCAATGCACGCCCTTCCCTTACAGCCTGTGCTTCATTATCAAGCAAACATTTACACTGTGTGGCCGAGGTGCAGAGATCACACATCGTATGTACTCCTTTCTCTTGCAGCATAAGTGACAGGGAAGTACTTTCTGATGGCATAGAACTGTCTCACCATAATGGAACATGGATTTAGGACTTAGGACCTGCCACCTGCATCCCTTTTCCAGACATCATTGAATGCTGGATCCAGGGCAGAAGGCACAGAGAAAGGTTTTCTCTTGGATACCAGAGCTCTGGCTCTAATTCTGTTTGTTCTTTCCTTCCCTATTTGTTCCTTAACTGTGAACCAAATGTTATATAATGTCACCTGGAGCCAACATGAAAGCACCTTTGTTGAATATGCCTAGAGGCTTTAATATTATAAAGAAAACAAGTGTCATTGGCAAGGCTTGGCTATGGAAACAGAGCTATTGGGCCAGTTAGTATTGGGCTTGCCATTGATGAGGTGCCCTAGCCACCACCAGAGTACTCACTGGAGGCCTCTCGCCTGCACTCCTGCCATAGGTCGAAGGTCCGGGAGTGACTGCTGACAGGGTTGCTTGCAGTGCAGTTGTAGATGCTGTCATGATGCTGGTTGCTAAGGGTGATGTACAGGAGGTGGGAGCGGTTGGCTGGGCTCAGCAGACGGGTGCCCGCCTCATCACTCCAGCTGTAAGCCACATGATCCCCTTTCTTCACTGTGCAGGCTAACATCAAGCTGCAGGTCCCATTCTCAGTCTCCTGGGTTTTGTTTAGCACTTTAATCTCTGGAGTGGAGACCTGCTCTGTCAGGAGAAAGAGAAGGAGCCATCACTGAAACACAACTCCTGGAACTATTGACTGGTTTATTTGTCAAAACAAAGTCTAGACGAGTGTTGCTGGAGTTTTCTTTCCTGCCAGGTCCTGCTGTTGCTTCAGCCACAAATAAACACACGGACGCTATATTAGTCATAAAACTGTTGGCCAATGGCTAGGGTTTCTTATTGGCTAGCTCTGTCTTAATAATTAACCCATAACTACTAATCTATGTATTTCTACATGGCCTTATCTTACCAGAAAATGCCTGGTGTATCCTATCTTCTTGGTCTCTACATGGTGTCCCTTTGTGGTCTCTCTCTGCCTACCTTTCCCAGAATTCTCCTTATTTCCTAGACCTACCTATCTTCCTGCCTCTGTTGGCCAAACAGTGTTTTATTCATCAACCAATAAGAGAAGCATATATCCAGAATGACACCCTCCATCAGACAAGTGGCATTTTCCCCTCACTGAAAAGTCTTAAGTGTGAGTTGTCTCTTGTGAAAAACTGTCACTCACATCATTCCTCACCCCTCTTGGTTATTCAAGGACTCTCTTGAGATAGAAAAGAGAAGCATTTGGTTTCTAGTTCCTTTCTGCTAATACTGTTAGGGTACTGTATGCATCTCCTGATGTACACTATGTAGATTGTTCTGCCATATTCTATCATGAATAAGACAGGTTTTCATTGGCTTAAAGTACAGCCTCTTAGAGCTAAAAGCATGAGTTTTTAGTGGTTGGATTTCATTGAGCCTAAGTGGTGTGTGTGTGTGTGTGTGTGTGTGTGTGTGTGTGTGTGTATTCAATGTGTGTATGTGGTGTGTGTGAGGTGTTGTGTGGTGTGTTTGTGTATATGGTGTGTATATGTGAGTGTATGTGGTGTGTGTATGGTATAGGGGTATGTGTGTGTGTGGTGTGTGTATGTATGTATGTGTGTGTAGCAAGGGCTTTGTGGGTCTAAGGCAGTGGTAGGTTTTCAATCACAGCCACAGGCCCTATCAATCCATACAGTTCTAAAGCCATGAGATAGGCAAGGTAAAAAGGGAGGTTGTGCTTATTACAGCTACTATAGGACCAGCACATTGCTGGCATTTCATATTCATCTTCTTTAATTCTCTCAATAGGTATAACTAAAAATAATTATTCCCATTTTGTGGATGAGAAAACTGAGTCTCAGAGAAATGGCATGTCTTGTTTGACATTATACAGCTTCTAAGTGGCCAGGCTGAAATAAGTACCTTCATCAGATTCTGAAATCAGCCCTCCCCTTCCCCCTCTCGCTAATGAAAGTCATGGCTGCAGAGAACACAGCTCCCAAAGTACCCAACTTATTATATAAGGTTTGACAAAGTCAGAAAACTTATAAGAACAAAGGGACAGATCATATGACATGCCTTACACATGCTGTGTGGCCTCCATGCACACTCAGCAGAGAACTATGGGTATTCTGCATTCTCTATTTGCAGGAGGGAAACACTGGGGCAGGAGGGAGTCAAGATGTTTCTGTTTCTCTCCTAGATAACTGAATGTTTCAACGAAATGCTAGCTGTGGACTTCCCATCCCATCCTTGGTGGTGTAAGAGATCCCTTTGAAAGATCAGGGAAGCCCCACAGAGATGCCAGCAAGCCTTGGAAAGCAGATGAGGCTCTGGGCCTAGGAGATAGGAATGCAAGGTGTCTTCAAGGACAGGAGCAGAGGTTAGAGGGACTCAGAGAGCACTGGAGTCAGGAAGATGTAGGTTCTACAGTCCCTCAACTAAACAACTACATAACCAGATCCTGGTTCAAATGAGGGGGAAAAAAAGGTGTTTCTTTCACCATGTAGGTGGAAGCCTCCCCCAGGGCTCTGAGCTTGGTGAGCTGCCTGTGGGTGGAATGTCAGCTTTCTTTACTCAGAACCTCTGCTTCAGCAAACAGCCTACACAAATGTGGGTAAGCACGTGCAAAACTACTTGCCCCTGGAGTCGGGGACCCTGGCAATGACAGAGAGGATAGGCTTGTTCAGTTGGATTCAAACTTCGTACTTTTGGGCTTGATAGGGAACAAAAAGCTTTTATTAAAAAATTGATATGCAGACTAAGCCCGTTAGAGATGAAAGCCAGCCCTTCAGGCCCACACAGTGGGCTTCCTTCCTTTCAAAGCAGGAATCAATTCAGCCTCCACCGATGGGCAGTTTGGAATATAACTAACCAACTAATGTCAGCCTGTCAAAGTTTTTCCCTTAAGCTTAAATACTCTCTGGACCAGATCTTTTGAGTTGCTTCCAATTGCAGATACTCTGCTTCTGAGAAAGGCCTAAGTCTTCTAGGCCTCCTGTGTGAAAGAAGTGTGAAAACTCCCATTTTTACCATAAAGTTTCAGTTGCATGCAGAATTGCTGAACGGACACATTCTCCTCCAAGCTCACAAAGTACCATCCTTCATTCTCCCTCCTGTTTGCCAGGATCCCCAGGCTCAGGTTTTCTGGTTGGAACTGGTAGCCGTCCTCCAGGTGATCAGGATAGCCCCCTTTAGTGAGGTCAAATGACACTATTTTCTTGTTGGTTTTGCTTCCTCGAGACGTTGCCATTGTGACAAGGATTCGAACACTTTTGTTAGCACTCTTATTTATCTGATTTGTCAGGGACAGCCACGTGTCACTTCCCAGTGGCTGGATAATCACCGAGCAGTCCATCACACCTCTACCTGTGGGAAGAAAGGGAAGATAATTCCTTATGATGCAAGAACTGGAGAACAGACAGAGAATGACAGGCTTGAGGCTCACCTCTTCTTTTGAACAATCTCAAATTACCACCTTGTAGTCTACAAGGACTACCACCAGGATCCTAAGCATAACTTCAGTGTTTCAAAGCATCCAATGGAAATCCTACAATTACTTCGCCAGGGTTCTGTCAACTCAGGCTGAACAGAAGGCAGAAGTAAATGACTTCCTTAAAGTCACGTTAGTAAGGGGCAGAGCCAGGACTAGAGTCTCAGTCTATAATTTCTCTGCCAAGGTTCTTGCCAACACTCAGCATGCTTGGTAAAGAGTGGATAACAGTAAAAAGGAGCCCAGGGCATCGTAGTTCCCAAAGCACTAAGCCAGGTGACAGGAAGCAAAGAAGGGTAGGAGGACTGTGGAAATTAGGGAGGTGGTGCCCTTCATGTCCAAACTGGAATCCCAGTTCTTCAAAAATATCCAAGATAATTAATAATGGTAAGGTTAAGATATTATTTTATTTTCCTTTTCAAAAAAAAAGCTGAACCAACAAGAACAAGGTGGGGGGGAGGGTGTTAAAAAACCCACAAAACCCCAAAAACCTTTCAAACCACTCTAAGGGGTTCTAGCGCTGACTATTTAATACCTCCTCTTGGCTCAAACCCATAAGCCGCCTTTCTGCCTCCTCTTGCAGGGGGTGACTGCCCTTTTTGTTTCACTGAAAAAATACAGAAGAAATAAAAAAGTAAGATTCAATCTATGGAAATCCCAGTCGATCTGTCTACCTGGAGGAATGGGCTGTGCTCTCTCCCAAGGCTAGCCTCTCCCCTCAAGGAACACTCACAGGCTTTCAGGTTTCCTCTTTAAGCCATCCCCTGTGTTCTCATTGTCTTCTGGATTTCTTTCACCAGCCCATACATACAAACACTTAATTGCCCCTGTCTTAAAAACAAAGCAAAAACAAAAAACAAAACAAATCTCTCCTCTGATCCCAGGTCCGTCCTCAGCCACTTGGCCATTTTCATCTTCTTTCTGGAAGGTTCTTGCATGTCTGTTTATGTTTTCTGCTTTTACTTCCTGACCCAGTTTCCCCTGTGCCCATTCCAAAGAAGTATTCTGCCCCAAATTCTCATTGCATCACACTTGTCCATATCTCTCTGTTACACAGAGCCAAGTCAGTTAATTCTCCATCATTATCTTGAGTGTTTCTCAAGGAACACCCGATAGACGTAGCTCATCATCCCTCCTTTAAACACTCTGCATTTGGTCCCTGAGATACTACACTTCCCTGACTTGCTATTTTGTTCTTTTTATCATTCTTAGTTTCCTTGGGGGAAACTTTTGTTTTCTTCAGATAATCTGAATATCAGACTATGCCTCGGCTCAGGCTTCCTTCTCTTCCTTATTTTCACCTATTCAGTTTCTCATTTAGCTGCACAGTTTGACATATCTCTGCAGTATTTACAGTTGTATCTTATGGCTATTCCTTTCCCTGCCTCGTCCTCTACTGCCTGCAAAGATATGCATGTGGAGGTTTAAACGGCAGCTGACTTTAGCAAAGAGCTTTCTGTTCAAACGTGAATATTCGTCCAGTTTCTCAGGCCAGAACATTGGAGCATCCCTCAGTCTGTCGTTACACTCCGCATTTGATCCTGATAGAAAGCCCTGCTGGCTCTAATTTCCACCTAGGTCTGACACAGACGCACTTCCCATGCCATGCCTGCTACCCCAACACCACAGGCCTAGCTGCTACCACTGTCTTCCAGCTAACCCCCCAGTATTTGTACCACGGAAAGAGAAATTCTTTAAACCCATGTCTGATTTATTTTTTTTCCATTGCTTTTGGTCCTCCAGGGCTTTTCAAGCACTCACAAAGTTCACAGTCCTTGACTCTGCTCACCACAACCCGGGCATTGCTCCAAATCCATCCCTGCTCACTTTCTGGTTTTCACAGCACTATGGCCAGGTAGCTTTCTGCTCCTTAATCTCATCAAGAACATTCCAGTCTCTGGGTCTTGGCATGCTCTGTTTCTCTCTGGAAATCTCTTCCCTTTTGTACCCGAGCGGCTCAGTTCCTCACTTTATTTTAGGTCCCCTCTCAGAGAACTCTTTCTTCTGAGAGGCCTCCTCTGACGGAGCATCCGGGATAGCCCCTGCCCATTGCTCTTGCTGTCACTGCCTGGTGTTATAGTGCACATTCATTCATTTTATTGCTGCCTGCCCCACTTAATACAGTCTTCTCCAGAGAAGACTGTATTCACACCACTGTTTATGCCTGACAACCTGATACAGTGTTTGGTACAGAGACACTCTGAAATAAATACCTGTTCAATTGACAAGTGCCGAAAGCCATATTTTACCTTGACAGACCTCTTAGTTAGCTTAGCCTAATATGTATATAACTGAATTTAACCATAAGTTAATGCTCATTATAGGAACACATGACTCAATGAGCATAGATGGTTCTAGACGATAAGAGATTCAAAAGAGTAAAATGAAAACACCTGCTTCTGTGACGGGCCTACCTAGAAGAGACCCCTTCTCAACTGTGCTAAAGTTGAGCTCCTGGAAAACTGAGTAAACTGGTTAAAATATTCTTGACATCAGTGTGCCCTGAAATCCCTACACTGTCTACTAAATGGCCCAGCCCAAATTAATTAAAGGCTAGTGATGCAGAGAAAAAAGAAGATGCAGTCTACATGAGTAAAAGTCAGGATGAGTGTGCTTGATGCATGGGTGTTACAGGAAAGTGAGGTAGATGACAAGGAAGTTGGTCTTTGGGGCATTGCTAGTGTTTCCTCTTGAAACAGGGTGCTCTCTCCCCGTTTCTCAGTTAGATGAAGACTCTTATTTTACTGTGGCTGTTTGGCACTATTTTGACATGGGTGCACTGGGAAGCACATTGGACTTTCTCCCAGCCATACTCAGGGATGCCTGACAATTCCAGATGGCACAGCTCTTCTGATGGCTTCACACCTGAACTGTACAAATGGTACCTCTTGAGTCCTAAATATAGGTAAAGGAAAGAGGGAAGACTGAGAGCCACACAAGGACCTCTAAATGTATGCACAGTTTGGGGGAATACTTCTCTAAATGCCATTTCTGAAAGAGGTATGAGATTTTAAAAACAGAATCAGTACCATACTATTGACATTTTAAACTAATTTTGATATGGAGAAGGGGAAAATGGGGAAATTTACCCAGCCTAAGACTGTTGTTAACTCCTCACTCTCCAAATGCCTCCGATATAACCTTTCCTGCCACATGGCCTGGTAGGTTTTTTTTTGTTTTGTTTTGTTTTTTGTATTTTCAGAGTACAGGATTGGTACAAGGAAGAGAAAAGCAGGGTAAGGCCGCAGTGGGAAGTAGCCAAGTAAACAAATTAATAAACCATAGAAGGTGAGAGGAGAAAAGACGAAAGGAAAGAAATGGGCAGACACAGACAAGACTTCGTGGTTTGCGAGCACAAGGAGTAGAACCAAAACTTCACCAGGAGGAGACCCTCAGGCCCAAATACACACAGAATGATGATGTAATTTCTCCCATGACTGTCGAGTCTAGAGGGGAGCTTGAGGTCATCGCCACCCCAGCACAAGTGGAAACACAAGTGGAGCTGTAAAACCCTTCACATAGAGTCTCTGTTCCTGAAACATCCTACTGCCTGATGAGGGTTTTCCAGTGAGCCTGTGATTCAATCAGCCCTGTTTACTAGAAGACGTCAGGAGGAAACATTTGAGCTCTGCACACCAACTCACTTTCCTCCAGGGGTAATTCTACTTTGATGGTGGAGTGATTCACATAGGCAGGTGAACAGGGGCCTGAAATCTGCAGGACTTAGCTAACCCATTCACAAGGCGGGATTCTACCCTAGAACTTTATTTTTGGCTTTATGCTGATATGTTATAAATGGTTTTAGCATTGTACTATATTTTTTTGCAGG